AATAAGGGGCCCAGAAACCAAAAAAAAAAAAAAAAAAAAAAAATCACCCTTTAATAAGAAAACAAGTTTCATAACTTACTGTGGTTTTCACTCGCAAGTCTTTCGGTGGAAGCTGCAGGCATTTCTTCCAGTCATCACCAAACCTAGAAGAAATAGTTCAATTCGAATTTATACAGTTGCATACTCATAACAAACAGCTTAACTGACATGATTAATGCAAGGAATCAATGTGTCAAAAGGAACCAGACTCTTCAAACTATTTTAAATCAATAAAGATTACCTGATACCGCCACTGCTTTGGTGTATACTGCTTCCTTTCTGGGGCATAGCAGGTGTTTTTCCTGACTGTGTTGAGGAAGTAAGCGATCCTGACTGGAGGGTCAAGGGCTTGGTCTGTCCATTCTGTTTGCTCATTGGCATGACTGAAGAAGGGATCTCTGTTCTGGCTGTAGCCATTGTCAGATGTTTTCTTCAACGGTTTCAAACAAATGAATTTTTGCTTTTTTTGTGTGGCTACTTTTCAACCATTCGTTAAACTGTTTTACTGTTACGCTCACTGCGCTTTTGTGTAAACAGTTTCCAGTACGTACAGACCTCTTAAAAAAAAAGAGTGCCTGGCGTATAACAATTGTTTATAATAAGCTCTCCCAATATAGGAGAAAATTATATTTATATGAATAAATATATAACAAGCCTAGAGCCAATGTACAAAATAACTAGCAAACAGGTACTTGTAAACTTCAAGTCTTACACAAGGGTTTTCAAAAATGCAAGTTAGCAAAAAATCTATTAATGCTTTTCAAAAGTCACTTTTTACGTTATCCCTGAAAATGTACAAAGTATTCACTTTTTTTTTTTAACAGCTGGATTGCAGAAATCCTGTAGTACCCTCTGTATTCTTTTTGGTATCAAAAAAAAAAAAAAGGTATAAAGTATTTACATACAAAAGCACAAGGCTCAGCAAAAGGGTCTTAATAATGTGCTCTTAATTCCTGTATTCTCTTCATCATGAGGAATTTCAAACTTTGCTCAGTGTCACTTGTTCCTATTTAACCAGCTGAAAAACTCCAAACTGAGGGATTTCAAACTGAAAGTCAATGCAGGATTACGAGTCCAAAATAACGTTAACAGTCCATAAAAGTTTCCACTCTGGCTAAGCGATGTCTCGTTTTTCCTCTCCTCTCTTTGTCACAGTTCCTGAACGCTTCAGTGGAGGAATTTCTGGAATACCTGCCAAATATTAAAGATATAATACAAAATGAGTATCATATCAAGCATTAACTATTTCTGGCAACAAGTAAATGGTTAGTTTCACAGTTCGTCTTTAAATACTTTCGAACAGCCATGTTCGAATTAGATTAAATAGAACAGAACCTACATAGTATCGTTATGAATTCATAATACTTCACTTTCAAGACCATCACTAGCTAGCAAGGCAGCCACGTTTAGCTAACCGTTTCTAACACTTGTTAAAAGTGTGGAAACACTTGGAATTCGTAAGCCAATTTGGATTAATAACACATCTGATTCAAGTCGAATCGGATTTAAGGTCATTCTCAATTCCCTAAAGGTTTAACGATCAGCTCTGAAGCGAAAAGTGAGCGTGTGGGTCAGGAGCTGTTAGCCGAGCTAAGTTAACTGAGCTAGCCGACAAGTACCACAAAAAGTGGTTTATAGACAAAAGTTTTCTCCTTTCAGATTCAACGCATAAGTTCAGGCATGCAGTTCACAACATTAAATAAGAACAACAAAACGCAGCACATTTTTCTGGAGATATGGTGAGCTGTGTTTCCTGAGGTAACGTTATGAGATACCAGTGAACTATATTTAAAACATACTATTAAAGCTCATGCTAACTCAACCTGCCAGCGGTTACATTGTTAAGACAGGTTAGCTTAGCTAGATGCTAACAAGAGCGCAAGAGAGGCCCGCTTTGCACGTTGGGAAAGATAACGGTCCAATTCGATTATAATTATGTCCGAGTTTGTTACCTCCGAATTCTGAAGGATTTGAATCTTCGTGAATTTGATTAATTCTTCGAACGTTTCTTGAGATATTCTTTGTTGCTGTGGCTTTTGTCTCTTCCGTCTAGAGATTTAACATGGCCGTGCGTTGAATCGATCTCAGAGGACGCATACGCACGAATCGAAATCGACCAATCAAGTGACAGAGTTTGAATTTGGTGGGCGGTACCATTATCAAGTCCAACTCCGTACTTCTATGTAGGCACTTTTGGCCCTGTGGACTTTCAGAAACATAAAAAATATTTAATCATAGATTGTTTCTTTCTTTTTCTTCACACACCACAAGTTTCATATTTTGTATCAAGTAGGCTCTTCACTGACATTGCAATTTTTTTAGTTGTGGTGAAATATTTTTTTTCATGTTTGAAAAATTGTAGGCTACAAATTATTATTGATATAAATAATTTTCACAACAGATATATTGAAATGGTTTGTGTTTTGATCATTAAAGTTTAAAACATGATATAATGTGTATTTTATGTTAAGATGAAAAAAAATCTGGACAAAAGGTAGGCTAAATAAAACTATACATAAAAAGCTTTTGAAAAGTAGTAAAAAATTATGAAGGCATGGAAAACGTTTCAGAGACCGTTTTAATGTGACCTTCATATAACAAAAACAAAAATATATTTTTTTATCTTCAAAAGTGCTTAACATCAAAGAAATAATCATATTATGTATTATTCAAATATTAGTCATGAAATGCACACATATGTATAAAAATATGTATTTTTTTATTCATAGTAAATTAGGCTACTATATACTATGCTTCTCTTATATTCACACATTCATATGAAAAGCAAAATTCATACATTCACATAACTGTCAGCAACATCACCATTAAGTACCACTATTGCAAATGCATATCAAAACCCATGTGGTTATAATTTTAATCAGTTTCTCAAGATTCTGGCAATGGTTACAGTTTACTCTTTTTTTCCACACCGGCCTTCTACAAGATTATCCAATTTAAGCCACTAAACAGTGAGTCCAAACTTAATCAGACAGTGATTTCAAGCTGCCATTCAAAGACTCGCACTAAAATAAAAGTGCCACTTAGTCACAATTTTGGGATTTTTTGGCATTTGGCATTTTTGACAATAGTTGACAATGGCACTGCGTTCATTAGAAAAACCTATCCTGGCGTCTATAGGCATTATACTTGGTTGATATCAGCTGTCATGTGTGTACCCTAATAACAACCTTTTGAGAGCCTCAAAATGTGAAGTGCAATTTGTGACAATGACATTTTTTTTTGTAAACATGAATGCACTTAAAGATTTTTTGTGTATGTGTGTCAAATGAATTTGAATAACTAATATCTGGAAAATCTGAACATGGGAAAACCAAAATGATGTCAATAAACACACTGACCAACACGCAGTTTCGATGGTAAACAAGAAGAAAATCACAAATGAAAACAGAAAAAAAAAAAATTATAATAATAATTCTGCCATCTTGCTATTGAAGTATAAATATCATAGCCCTTTATAATACATGACAAAATCATACATAGCAAAACACTTGGTAACACAAATATACACTTACACGTTATTGATTTGTAAAAAACAATATCAGAATCAACATATATTAAAAAAATGCTTAGATACAAATAAATGCTATAAATCAGTCAGTATGTTGTCCAACCACAAATAATATTCAAACACCGCACTTAAAGGGATAATTCACCCAAAATTCATAATTTATTAACCCTCGTGTCATTCCATCTTACAAAACTGTTTGGTTACATCATTCTTCAAAATATGTTCCGCAGAAGACAGAAACTCGTACAGGTTTGGAACAACATGAGGATGAATTAACGATGAAAGAATTTTCATTTTTGGGTGATCTATCCCGTTAAAGCAGGGGTGTCAAACTCAATTCCTGGAGGGCCAGAGCCCTGCAGAGTTTTGTTCCAACCCTGCTCCAACACACATACCATGTAGTTTTCAAATAAGCCTGAAGGACTTGATTAGTTGTATCAGGTGTGTTTAATTAGGTTTGAATCTAAACTCTGCAGCCCTCCAGGAATTGAGTTTGACACCCCTGCTTTAAATGGATAATTCACCCACTAAACCTGTATGTCTGTCTTCTACTGAACACAAAGGAATATATTTTAAGAAATTTTGCTTAGCAAACAGCCGCTGGTAGCCATTGACTTCCATGGTATTTTTTTTTTCCATACTATGGATGTCACTGTATACCAGCAACTGTTTGGTTACCATACCAATTCATCCACATATCTTCTTTTGTGTTCAGCAGAAGAAAGAAACTCATACAGGTTTGGAACCGTTTTGTGGGTGAGTAAATAATTATAGAATTTTAATTTTTGGGTGAACAATCCCTTTCAGATGACCAGCTGCTTAAACATCTAGCAACTATCAACTCACACTTCTTTCTTCACTGTTTACACTCACAGTAGAGATGTCTGATTGGTTACTGCTGCGACTGGATGGCCGTGATTGGTTAACGGCACCCTGTGAAGGAGAGCCATATGTGACCGGCACAGGGAAACTGGGGAGTAAGATGATCTGTGCATCTGAGTAATATGGAGGTGTTTGAATACCAGTGGGATAGTAAAGTGGGCAATCTGCGATTAGCATCCTTCTCTGGATATAAGAGACAGTGGGCTTAATTTGGTCGTACCCAGAAGGTAACAGATATGGGAAATGATGGAGTGCCATTCCGTAGCCTGCCCTGTTGTCCACTGCTATATTATGGTGTGTCCGTGGCAACATTTGCAGTGTTTTTTCATTGCTGTTCATCGGTGACTGACGTTCTGAAATGTTGTCTGCTGACTGACTTCGGGGTAAAACTGGAGCCACAGGAGAATGTGGGGAGAAAGTGGAGTAAGTGGGAGTCATTCGGGGAGAATGGTTGGAGCTGCCAGGGGACAGAGAGCCTAAACAGCAGAGCAAAACTTGAGTGAAAACGTTTAAACAAGGTGTTTAGAAATAAATTCACTCTTGTAATTTCAGAGAGATGCTGACCATTACTGCTAGTTTTCACAGTGCAGCTGCGAGTGCCTCTCCCACGCAGTACATCAGATACCTTAAGACAAAACCGCATAAATACATGTTTAGAAAAGTTAAAGAAGTTATGGTGATACACATGGATGGATTATGAGGCTAATGGGGGTTTTGACTCCAGGGGCCACGAACTGAGAGGCCTGGAATGGACTGACACAGGAAATAAGGCTCAAATTTGAGATGAATTTGATGATGTGAAGTAAAGATACAATAGTAATATAAAGCTAAAGTTTCTAAAGTTAAAGCATTTTAAGCATAATTTCATTTATAATGTTGTAATTATGTTCAAGTTAAAACTCAGTTGTGGAATGTAAAGTTGCAATTAATTTTTTTTTGTTTCTTACAAGAAAGGGTCTTCATGGGGCTTCATACAACTATAATCCATCTTTGTTGATATGTCTGACTGGTAGTTAATATGCAATAAAACTGAGCAATGAAAGTTCTGTGAATCACCACTTGTTGGCAGTGTTGCATTTTATATATACTCTGCTGAATCTATTGACTATTATAATGAAAGATTGAATAATATACAGTACAGTATGTTTCCAAATAAACTAATGCCATTCTTTTAGTTCTTACTTTTTTGTTTTTTGCGACCATGATGGCAGTGTCATTATGGTTGTTTTTCAGACTACTGTCGGCTCCATTTTTCAGCAAGACCCTGGCAATCTCTATATGACCTCTGCCACAGGCACTGTGCAATGCTGTATTCCCACTATAAGACTGTGCGTTCACATCACACCCACTCTGAAAGACACGGCACACAGAAAAAGACATTGTGAACATTAATAACTGGTTCTAATCCACACACGGATAAAAGCGGAGTAATAAAGATTAATAGTTAAAGATTTCAGTCTCATAGTTTTACATGTTCATCCCTGTGCTCACTAACAGAGAAGTACAAGATAAAAATGAAGGGAACAGATTGTGAAACAAGTGACGACTCATCAAATTTATATTTATATATGCACACGCACCTCGATCAGAAAGATGACAATGTCAGTAAAGTTGTTTTCTACAGCATGAACCAGTGGACTTCGACCACTCTTATTATCCTGTGATAAAAGAGTAAAAAGAGACCAATAAACAAATAGCGTGTGCAGCAAACACTATAGATCATAATACACAACTCATGTCCTCATGCAATAACTCATGCATGAGGAAAATATAACATCACATCAGACAACAAAACAGGTAGTGGAAATGATGACAAACTCACTGACCCCAGCGTTGATTTCAGCTCCACTCTTCAATAAGATTTTTGCCAACTTTTTATCTCCATTCTGCACAGCCAGGTGGAGAGGCGTCAGACCTTAAATTAGACATTAAAATATTCAGGCTGTAATCTGAATGACCCACTGAAACAAGTTTGGGCATGTTCATTGGGTAAAATACACAAAAACACTAATACGCCTCCTCACTGTGTTTCTAGGGACTTTTTGAATTGTGACAACAACAACAACAGGAAATGTCTCATGTTACATTTCATATGCATGAATGAAGCAAGTACCAACTGTAAGGACTGTTTAGGACTACACTGACATAAAAATAAAATAAAATGAAAATAAATAATAAAACCGTTTAATTCAGCATAATTAATCAACATTTTTATTTAGCAGCCCAGAAGAGGTTATCGGAGTACTATACTGTTACAAGAGGGAATTGTTGTGTCAGAATCCACAAATAAAGCTAGATGGCGATATACACCCCTCATTTCTGATGAACAAAAATATTCCAAAACATAATCACACATTCATGCAGGAAAATCCATGACCAGCAGCTCTTTTTCTGTCTACTGCCCCCCAGTGGAATTAAAAAAAAGTTCTTCCTTCTGAAGTCATGTATAATTTTCAGAAGTGTTGCATAATGACACAGACAAGAGAAATGTTAATTTTACGGTTATGTATTTGTTCGTATTGCTGTACTAAACAGGACCATAGTCAAGAGAGTTTTAGTGTCAGCACATCTATATGCAAGCCAACAGACAACTGAAATAACCTTTTCCTTTTTTTGTTATGCTACAAAAAAATTACACACACAAAAATGCGTATAGATAAACTCATGTAGATCTAGGTCCAGCA